TGTTAGAAAAAGTACCGGAGTGTAACAAATGGGTGTAGGATTGGTGTAAAATAAGAGAAGGGTGAGGAGAGATTGATTGAGTAAATATGGGGTTGGTATGAGTTGTAGGTATGGGAATTGAATGAGGAACATGAGTAATACCTGAAGATGAAGCTGCTTCTATTTGAGCAGTGGTTGTAGGTGGTTGTTCCTTTTGAAGCACTAGTTTGTTGAGCATTCCCATGATGTTATCATACCGAGAGTCTGAAATTTGCTTCTCATTACCCATACGGGTTTGAATGAGTTCCAAATCTGCAGTGGTTTTGTCAAACCTCTCATCCATTTGTTGTTGTGTTTGGGTCGTTGCATTATCTAGATGGATATGAGCTGTTTGGACAGCTTCTTCTATGATATCTCTAGGATTTGAGGGTTTGGGAGGAGGAGCCATGAATCCAATTAGATGAAAGCACCAATTGATAAGAAGGTTTCAACAACTATTTCTAGATCTAGGGTTTTTACCGTAGACAACACAAAACTAAGAAAATAGTGAAAGGGCTATAAAATTTACTTGTTAATTCTCTGCCCTCTCTAAGGGTAACAAAAGCTTAAATACACACAGATAAACTAAATGGGCTACCAAAACTAGGCTCAACTAAGAAAAACATAAATATAATCAATAACAACATTCTACTTCATTTCATAATCACCCATCCACTTGGGTTGGGTCCTAATTCGTGTGGGCCTGCTATCACTTTTGTTACTCCTTTCTGAGAAGAAAAGAAAAATGGAACAAGAATAAGATGAGAGAAATATGCAAATATTGTTAGATTTCTCGCATTGCTTACAGAAACAAAAAATTGATGAGTTGAAGGAGGTGTGTTGGATGCAATTTATCTATTTTATTTTTTATGGTTTTATAGAAATCTGTAAATGTTTTTGTAATAATTAAAATGATTTATAGTTGAAGGAGGTGTGCACGATGTATTTTAGACATTATATCATGTGGCTGAAGTTATTTCATTATAATAATGTTGTTTTAAGTTTTTGTATTCAGTGTTCATGTGTTTCGGATATGGAAGGAGGTGTGCACTTTTTTACCTCAGTCAATATTAAAGAAAAGAAGACTTCAAAAGAGATCAAAGTTTGTAATGGTGTTTGTGTACACATTTTGTAGTTGTGTCTATGTATATCTTATGTCATTTTAGAATATGTTTAATGTCATTTTAATTTATTGATTTTGGTTTGAATCAAAGAATGTAACAAAATTCTAATTTAATGTCATTAAATTCAAAATTATGTTGATATAAAATTCTGGTTATTGTCTAAGTCTGTTCTATTAACTAATTATAAGATTTCACTTTAGTCCCTTATAAGTCTGTTCTTTAACGAAATTGTTGACTCATTATTTTGATTTTTTTTCCACGCTGTCATGCCACATCATCCAAACTTAACGATTTTTCTTAACATTTAACATAAAGAATTAATTTGACTAACAGAATAGTTTTTAAGGGATTAAAATGTAACGTTTATTAAATAAGGGACTAAAGTGAAATATGAAATTAATTTAAGGGACCCCAAGACTAATTAAGCCTATTTAAAATTGGATTCTCTCTTATAAAATAATATCTTATTTGTAAAAAAAAAAACTAAAACAATAATTTATCTAATACCAGTTTCAATAGTTTTTAATTTTAATCATATTATTTATGATATTGTTGTTTAAATTTTGTCTTCTACATTTATAATTATTTCAACTTAAATTTACTATTACTCTTAAGTTTTTTTTCTTTTTTTTTCAGTTTCAATTTTTATGATAGTTTACAAACAAATGCGCGTCCAAAATCACATCTCACCTACAAACGTACCTCGTGCGTAGGCACGGGTTTGTTACTAGTCTACAGAAGAAAAAGATATAGGGACGAAAAACAAAAACACGCCAACTTACAAAGAGACCAAAAGACTATTTAAGACATAAAAAATCAGACATTTAATTTTATTTTTTTGTGTTTTTGATATTTTTAATGTAATAAACCAACTAACTAAATAAACTAAATTGTATTTTTTTGTTTTTTTTTATATTTGACTTTATCTAATAAATTTAAATTTTTGAATGTGGTAAAGATTAAAATGAATAACATTATTTTATTTTTTAAGAGACAAAAGACATTAAGGAATCATCAGAAGTATTTCTTAAATTCATTCAAATAAAAAAAAACTCACAATAACATGAACATATGAATTTAGAATCCCCAAATTAACTTCAATTCAAAATCAAAACTATAAACATGACCAACATCAAAAAGCTAAAACAATCATCATCACCGACAAAATATGCAAGCTACGAAGAAAGAGAATCAACCTGGAGTGTTGTGACCGTGTAAGTTGTATCCTCCCTTCTTTCTTTCTTTCTCCGTCCTCTTCTTCTTCTTCTTTTTGCTTTATGATTCTCTCTGTTTTCTAACTTCTTCTCTTCTCTTTTATGTTTTGCAAGGTACAGGTGACAGTAGAATGCAAAGAAAGAGGCTAGGGTTTTCTTTTTTAGCTAATCTCTTCAATATGAAAAAATTAGTATTTTTTGGATTTCTACTTTGTAAAAAATGTGGTGTCTTGCTCTGATTCTTGTTGTTTATTTATATTAATTTTTTCGATTAACAAAAAAAGAAAACCAGTCACAATGACAAATTCTGACCAACCAAAAGCAAGAATGACAATTTGCAACCAACCAAAAGCAAGAATGACACATTGTGACAAAAAACGAGTATGACAAGTCTTGGCCAATTAGAAACAAGAGTGACAAAGAATGACAAACTTTAACCAATTAGAAACAAGAGTGACAAAGAATGACATATCAGGAAAGATTTGACTTTTATTTTATATTATTTGTTGATTTTTTTAATTATTTTTATGATAAAAAATGAATAAAATAAAATAAAAACTAATAATTAAAAAAATACCTATTAATGAAATACGAAAATAATAATAAATTATTCTAAAAAGTCAAAATTTGTTGACTCTTGTAGAATTTTTTTTACAATAAAAATGTATACAATAGGATTCAAACCCGCGACCCTATGCTTAACCTCTTTACCATACTACCAATTGAGATATCTCATTCATTTGAAGTAAAAGCTCCTTAAAATTATACAAAGAAAACCAGTCAAAATTTGGGGTACGACAATCACGCTGAGGATTGCTGATCAATGTTATGATTTAGTATCGCCTCGATTACCCGCCAATAACATGATATTTATTGTGGCAACTTTGAAGCCACGACGAGTTGATAGCTAATGTTGGCGTAGATCTGGTACCAAACACATTCTCTAGGTAACCAAAGGATCTCTGTACAATGAATAAAGATCTCCTCAGGCCAGATCTGATAAATCATGACGAAGCTCGCATTGTGACTAAAGTTACTGTTGCACCCTAAAATTTGCCTACCCCTATATATACCCTTCATCTGTCATACCCCAAAATTTGACCGACCTCTCTGGCTCATGTTTTATTTCGTTGCATCAGCATACATGTAAGCATTGCATTGCATAGCATTTTGCATTTCACAGGGGATCAAGAAATGCGTGTCTAACAAAATTACCAATGGTTTTTAACCTGATCAAGGAGGTTATATTCAAGTCACCAAGTGTTTACCCTTATCAAAGACGAGTCAAGATCCTTAAAGACAAACAGATAAGCATATGTGATTATCAGGAGCAGAAAAATAAAAATATGTTGTTTCTTTCATTTCTCCTTGCTGACCGAAATCATGTTGTTGCTAAGTTGGATGGAGGTTCATTAGTGGTTTGTCGAGTCGAGGTGTATCAATTCAAAGGTGCTTATTTAAGGTCGCAGTTGGGGTTTATGTGTTAATTCAAAATTGTTATGTGTGGATCCATATGTCAATTTGTGCCAAATTCAGATATTTCGCAATACAGAATCATGTGGACCTATGCCTGTCAAATAGAGTATTGAGTGCAACTACACTTGAAGTTAAGTGGAGTTTTGTTTAGTCTCGGTGAAAGGTTGGGATTGCTTCATGTCCTTGCTCTTGTCACATGCTGTTTGAGACAAGGATGTGCTAATGTTGAGCGTTTGATGATTGAAAATCATGAAGTGATGAAATCTGGGGTGCTCAGGGGTCTTATGATCAAAGTCAGGTTCACTCGGGATTCAAGTAGGTAATTTGATCAAGTTTGGTACATTTGAACTGAGGTTCACTTGACGCAGTTAGGGGAGTTGTGTGTGTTGACTGAGGTTTGATGGATATAACTAGTCTTGGTCAAGCAGGAATTTAGTTTCAGGATTAAGGTCGTGGTATAAGACTTATATGATGTGCGTCCGAGGTCTTAATCAAGGCACATGCGTAGTTGTAATGCAGTTTTGTGTTGCTTATTCAATTCAAGATTTGGATTGTCAGTGCAAGTAAGATCTCAAAGGAGTTTGAAATAATTGGGAATTCAAGATTAGTCCACCTTACATTCAATTTTTATCATTTTGGTCCAAACTATAATTCCACCGCAGCGCTTCAAGGACCACAAGCATGGTTGAACGTTTTGTGAGTTTTAAAATTTGGATTAAACTTAGTCAAACTTTGAGATTGTCCTACAAGGTTCATGAATTAAATCAAAGGCCCATTAGGAAGCCCATCTTTATTATTAATTTCCATACAAATTTAATTTAGTTGGAAGTTATAATAATCAAATTTGCAACAAAGCCTCATTAATATTGTTCATTGCAGTATATAAATTCATTTAAAACATTGCTATACCTATTTCCGAATAAGTTCACCGATGGAAATCCAGAATAGACGGCCAGGAGTTACAAAGTTCTACACAAAAGATAAGCCCAATTACAAAGTTCAGGTTGCAAAGGATATCAAGTTATGTTTTTCAAGATACAAGACCAAGGTTTCTTTACATAATCCAAGTTGTAACACCATATAATTTGTTGCTGACCCATCGGAACTTTCAATTAGAAAAAGTGGCATTTTTATTTTCCCAAAAGTGTACACCAGGTCCCACTCCAAAATGATATTGCAGACTCACAACCACCAAGCACCACCGTCAGCTCCGGCGCCACCACCGCAGAATCTGGGACTTTCAAGGGGACCTACTTGGACTCCAGCTGAACAGCTTCTTCAACTTCATTATTGCATCCATTCTAATCCTTCATGGCCGGAAGCATTGCTTTTGGGTTTTCATCATTACATTGTGATGTTCGGAACAACTGTTCTGATTGCAACCAATCTTGTACCTCAAATGGGTGGGAGTCATGGAGATAAGGCTCGTGTGATTCAGACATTGTTGTTTATGTCGGGCATCAAAACATTGCTTCAAACTTGGTTTGGTTCAAGGCTTCCGGTGGTTATGGGCGGATCACTTGCTTTCGTACTTCCGGTGATGTCGATCATCAATGATTACAATGATCAGACTTTTTCATCTGAGCAAGAGAGGTTTACCCGCACAATGAGAACAATTCAAGGATCCCTCATTGTTTCATCTTTCATCAATATCTTCCTTGGATATAGTAGGGCATGGGGAAATTTAACAAGGTTGTTTAGTCCCATTATCATTGTACCTATTGTATCTGTTGTTGGTCTTGGTCTGTTCACGAGGGGCTTTCCATTGGTTGCAGATTGTGTGCAAATCGGATTACCTATGCTCATTCTACTGATCATAACACAACAGTATTTGAAGCGCCTCCATCCTCAAGCTCATCATATACTTGAGAGGTTTGCTTTACTTATCTGCATTGCCATTGTTCGGGCTTTCGCTGCTATCCTCACAGTTGCTGGTGCATACAATAATTCCAAATCAAAGACCCAAACGAGTTGCCGCACAGATCGCTCCTACCTTTTGACTTCTGCTCCTTGGATTAAAGTTCCATACCCATTTCAGTGGGGTACCCCCATATTCAAGGCTAGTCATGTCTTTGGGATGATGGGAGCAGCACTTGTCTCTTCTGCTGAGTCAACTGGTACTTACTTTGCCGCAGCCAGGCTTTCTGGCGCAACACCACCTCCATACACTCATAAGCCTCATCCAGATTTCTACTACCATCCAACTCTGCATCACAACAACATACTGCCCAATAGCAAACCAACCTGTACCTACACCAATAACAAATAAACCATTTCATCATGACCAATCCACAACACAGTGAAATCATATGATAAAGTGGAAGAATGAATTCTGTCCATTTTGTTGAAGAAAATGACACTTATTTTCACAACAAAATATCAAAGCTAGCAGGTTGAGGATGCTACCTGTATACCCTGGAATACATAGAACTATGTTCCATCAGGCCCTCTAGAGGTATAATCTCCTGCGCAAAAAGCTTCCTGCAACATCATTCACGGGATCTCCAGTTCTTTCTGACTCTGGATTTTATTTGTTGAACAAGCTTCTCACTTATGACCCTGAAAAGAGGATCACTGCTGAAGATGCTCTCAACCACGAATGGTCTTGTGAAGTTCCCTTCCCAAGTCTAAAGAATTCATGCCTACATTTCCTGCTCAACACGATAAAGAAAGGAAAATACATGAGTTGTACGCTAAAGAGTGCACAATTATAGGTCGTGAATATAAATGAAGGTTCTCGTATACATCAAGCAAATTATCCTCACCAGAATCACTAGGTGAACAAAGTTTGATATGCTTCCCGCTGTTATAAAGGATTCCCAGCTGTTAACTTTAAAACTCCAAGTGGAAGGACTGACACCTGTTGTGCAATAGAGAGCTTATTGTGAGTGTTCATACTAGACAGTAAAATCACATTTTTACTAAGCAGTGAAATTAGGAATGATATGGTTGTGGTAAAATTTCTTTATCTCACTACAGACAAAAGAGGAGATTAAGTAAATTGTACTACTTTACCTCAATCCTCTGCATATATAATGGTGTGTGAAGTGACAGCAAAAGGGGGAGAACCCTAGCCGCTACAGCTCTGAGCCTCCTAATCCATTCAGCCTCCAAAACCCTAAGGAAGAGATCTGAATTCATCCAACCATCCATGACTACCACCTTCTCCAAGTCCTCATGATCGAACCTTCATCATTAACACCCAATCTTCATTTTCTCAAACCCTCCACCATAACCAAACAACCCTCTTCGAAAATCCCCTCACCACAGAAGCATTTTTCAACACCATTCTCATAAACCAACCTTCAACTCTGTTAAAAAAAAAAACATTCAACAACCTCCATTTTCTTTTCCAAACTCTCATCTTCAATCAACACATCTCCAAACCTGTTCTTCTGAAACTCACACACTTCCAGCTTTCCTTATCCTCAACCTTCAAACAACTGATTTCAAACTCGATTTCCAAATCCCTTCGTATCCCTAAACCCTCTCCAACCTGAAATCAACAAACAACATAAAACACATTCCGAAAATCACACGGCAAAATCATTTCAACATAAACCAAACCAACGCTCAAACCGTCTTCCTAAACACCATCTCACCAACCTGCGAAAACCGCCGCCGAAGCTAACAACCAGACACGAACCCCTTCACCATACACCAAACTCGTTCAATCACCAACTTCACCGCATCACTCACAAAGTTGTACCCATTTTGCACACACAAGCCATAACAGAAAGGGGAAGATGGAATCGATTTTTTTTCTTAAAAAAGAATCGGAAGCAGACAATGAGAGCGGAAGTGAGAAAGCGTGAACAGTGAGCGATGAGGGTGAGTTGAGGGTGAAGACCGTCTGAGTCTTCATTTTTTTGTTGTTTTATTTATTTATTTATTTTCTTTTTTTATTTATCATGGTGTTGGGCTTTATAGCCCGTATTGGACTGAACAACCCCCCATTTCCATCGAACCCCCCTCCATTGTTTTTGTTTTATATTTTATTATTAGTTTTTAAGTTCATATATATATATATATATATATATATATATATATATATATATATATATATATATTATAACTTTATCTTTAGATTACATTTTATTTTTTTTTAAAACAGTCTTTATTATTCTTTTATATTAGAGTTTTATATCAAAGTTTTTTTTTATGTATATTTTCTTGTTATATTAGATTTTTATTAGGAGTTTATATATGTAGTGTTTTTCTTCAATATTTTATTTCTAGAGTTAAATTCCATTTCGCATTTGTTATTGGGCATTTTGTCCCATTTCATCTGTTTAGGTCGATGACGAGACCTCCGTAATTCATTACCAGTCAAATTATTGATGAGTAATGTTGGACCTGAGACCACCTCTTTTCTATCCACATTATGCCCCGATTCGATTCAAAACTTTGTCAAACAATTTTCAAAATCAAATTATCTTTGTATTGAATTAAAAGAGGGGATTAAGTGTAGACTTTCTTCCTCTCCGAGTGTTGGGATGCCCACTGTAGTGAGGGTGGTTCCGACACTCGTCTTTCAATACGAAGACGCTTCCCATCCATTTTCAAATCTCATCTCCTTAAAATCAATTCCTTGTATTGAATTAAAAAAAGAGAGGATTGGGTGTAGACCTCTTCTTCTTCGAGCGTTGGGATACCCACTGTAGTGAGGGTGGTTTCGACACTCGTCTTTCAATACGAAGACGCCACTCCCTCTCCTCCTAAAAAACTTCGGTTCCGTATCGAGTCCATTTTCAAACCTCTTCAATAATAAATCAACTTCTCTTTGTATTGGACTAAAGAGAAAGGATTAAGTGTAGACTTCTTCCTTTCCGAGTGTCGAGATGCTCACTGTAGTGTGGGTGGTTTAGACACTCGTCTTTCAATATGAAGACGCGACTTCTTCCACTACCTCTCCTTTCACAACTTCTTTCCGCACCTTTCTCACCTAAAACCTCGGTCCTGTACCGAGTGCCTTTTCAAACTCATTTTCGCAACAAAAACTTGAATGGTCGTGGAGTGGTTAGGCGTAGGCCTTCTCCTATCCCGAGTGCTGACGTTTACCGTAGGGTTCTCTGTCGCAAAAAGCACTTACCATTCAAAACCAAAAACACTTTAATAAGAGAATGAAGTTCTCTTTGTGTTGAACTAAAGAGAGAGGATTAAGTGTAGTCTTCTTCCTCTCCGAGTGTTGGGATGCTCACTGTAGTGGGGGTGGTCTCGACACTCGTCTTTCAATACGAAGACGCTACGTTCGCCACACATTTTTACAACAAAAACTTTGAGATAAAGAATTGGGTACTACCTGTAGGGGTTACTATCCGAGGACCTATCTCGCCCCAAAAACAATCTCAACCAATCAAACATGATACCTTGCCTCACATGGCGAAAACCAACCTTTCAAACAGGATATGTTACGTCCGTTCTACCGCAAACAGGTACGCATAAGTCTCCAAACGAGCGAGCAGCAAAACACCTAAACTGCTAGAACGCGCACGATAACATCATCCACAAGACACACTGGTTATCCGCACCGTAGGCACGAACTACGTTGCTCTGATTTCTCTTGCATGTTGAGAATACGTAGGCATAGGATTGCAATATCCTAGCGAGCACCCTTTTCTCTTTTTCACCCTTTCCTAGAAAGGCATGCTACGTCCGTTCTACCGCAAACAGGTAACGCCTAAGTCTCCAACGAGCGAGCAGCAATACACCTAAACTGCTAGAATGCGCACGATAGCATCGTCTACCAGTATACCCCGCTTTCCCGCAAACCGTAGGCCGAACTACGGCTGCTCTGATTTCTCATACCAGATGAGAATACGTAGGCACAAGACGGCGATGTCTTGCCGAGCACATTCCCCCCTATTTCTGTAGTTCCCCGAACTACGTCGACTCTGACTTTCTCACATCTATTGAGAATACGTAGGCATAGGACTGCGAAGTCCTACCGAGTCTGTTCTTTCTCTTTTCTTCCCCGTTCTCTCTTTCCTCCTAACTTTCCTAACCCTTCTTTTACCCTGTGGAACACTTCTTATAGCATAATGTTTAAGCAAATAAATTCACACATCGACAAACAAAAGGTTCCCATCGAGTACGATGGATGCGAGGGGTGCTAATACCTTCCCCTTGCATAACCGGCTTCCGAACCCGTTCTTGGTCGCGAGACCATCTTATCCTTTTCTTTCTAAAGGTTTTCTCGATATTTTCCTTTCCCCCTCATGGGATAAATAAAGTTCGGTGGCGACTCTTCTGTCCTTTCTTTTCGCCTCCCCGTCGTTGCACGATGCATTTTTCGAGTAGCGACAGCTGGCGACTCTGCTGGGGACCTACCTAGCAAGCCACGCCTATTTTGTTTGTCGCATTTGTGCTTTATTTGTTTTGCTATGGTTATGTTTCTTTCTAACTTGTTGGGTTCATTTGGTTTGGGTTGTGAGGATAAAGCTTTCTACCCGAGCTTTCAAGTATTGCACTAAGTTAGGAGGTGGTTTCTTTCTGATTTGCGAGACTTAGGACTCGTTGAGTTGGATCGAATTCCACCGCTCAGATGAGACCCCGTTGGAATAATTATGTCTTACGTGTAGTCGTAATGACGTTCTTATCTTCAACTTGGGAGTCCGCGATTCTGAGGACCTTTGTAGAACCTTATTCCAAAGGTTACTAAAACATGACGTTGTGTTCATCCTTTTTGAAAGGAGTACCGTCTTACGAGTAGTCGTTATGATGGGAAACTTTTGAGGGTTAGTGCATAGGACTTTGTTTGAAAAGCCTTTGGAATACCCTCTTAAACCAATAGATTGCTCAACCGATGGGAAAGATATCTCGTTGTGCTGTCTTACAGGAAAACTTTGACCTTCATCCTACCCGTTTGTCAGTATGAACAGCTACAGTAGGATCCTTGTACTAATGTTGTTTAGGCGAAGCGCTGGTCCGTCACCGTCAACAACACAACAACGTTTGATCCCCTGTTGCATTTGCACATTCATTTGCATTTCTTCGCATGTCTTGCATATTGCATCATTATTCATTTGCATAGAGGTGTTCTAATTTTGTGGACGTAATTGCTTCATGTGGTTTTTCCATCCGGCTTGTTCCAGAATTGAAGATCATTCCACCAAAAGAAAATCAACAGAGACAACTATGGAACAGATTCGAGAAGAACTAAGGGAAGTTTAGAGCCAGTTGGGGCAGTTTGTGGCAAAGATGCAAGCGCTGCGCTTGGATCAGGATGCACTCAGAGAGGAGAATAATCAACTGAAGACTCAGATGGGC